ATGCCACTGTGTGCAGAATATGAATCATCTGGGTTGAGATGACTGTAATGCTCCCTAGTCCTTTGTATCAGGTCTCATCTTGCCCGTCTTAGTCTCAGAGCAGAGCATCAGTAAGATCGATAAAGTTTGATGCTGTTGTTTGTCTTTTGTATGTTTCTAAAGCCATGTGTGGTTCCACTTGCAGCAAATATATACAAACACATATATTGTATTATCTATTGGAATATCAATCATAATTAATCATAAATCCAAGTGAATGTGGTTAACACATACAAGTTAACATGAACACTGTGTGGGTTTAAAAACTCGTACTTCAGATTCATTGCCAGTGGTGCATTTCTAATTATCTCTTTCTGATCTAATATGCAGGATATATGTCCTACAGTTATTAAATAGTATACAGTATAGCCACTCTTTCCTGTTCTAGGGCTAGGTGCCACTCTGGTGTCATACATCTCGGGGAACTGTCCCAGAATCTGTGGACAGCCTCAGAGATAAAGCTGTCAGACTAAACTTGAATCTATTTGGGAATATCGTCTTGAGACAGAGGTAGGGAGGGGGACTGAGAGAGACATTGAAGTTGTCAGGGAGGCGTGTGGTGCAGTGGGTTGTGCATTGGTGTTCGTATTAGGAGGTCACAGGTTCAAACCCCACTGCAGTCAGCATGTCGTTGTGTCCCTGGGCAAGACACTTCACCCCAAATTGCTCCTGTATGTCGCTTTGGATAAAAGCGTCTAACAAGTGACATGTAATGTAATAATGTAAGCAGACAGAATGATGACCAGAAGCATTATAGGAATAAGTGGAAACAAGTGAAGCGTGATTGGAAGCAGTTGAGGATGATATGAGGGGAAAGAGCACAGCATTGATTCAAGATGTGAAGGTTTTGGTGTTAGCAAGAGGCTAACAGCTGCTCCAAACCTGGTGGCTTGAAAAGGTTATTCTGGCAGCCATATATTGTTCAGTTGACTTGTTAGTGCTTTTTGCTAATAGATAACCCTGGATGTCTTGCACGGCAGGGGAATATATTTTGAATGCAAAATCCCATTTGAATAAATTATGTTTAGTGCATTAAAAGCTTAACAGTTTGCTTATAATCATAAATTGGCCAGTATAACAATCTTTTGTAAAACATGTCATAATGACACACTTTCACTAGCCAGTAACTGCTACAGTTAACTAGAGTTATCTCCTAGACCCAGCTCAATCATGGATTGCTAGTTAATAAAGTTCTCTACTGTACCTTGGGCACTCTGGTAGTCTCGAGGTTAAGGGGCCAACCTCGCTTAAAATTCCTTCATTTTAGAAAATGTATCAAAATATTACAAACTGTATTTTGGTTCCTTCCTATTCCAACATTGCCTTGCACCTTCATTACGTCGTAAACACTTCATGTAAATATTCAAAGTTGATGTTTAAGTTCTTGCTTGCAGATGTATATGTCATGACGGTTTCTTGTAAATAGTTGTACACATTTAGAAAACTTAAGAAACGTTGGGATTTCCACAAAATAAAGTTGTGAGAGTTTAAACAACACTTGTAAACATGGAATGAGTTTGTAAATTGATTCACAGCTTATGAAAAGGGAATTGTCATGTCAGGGTGGGCGGGCGGGTTAGTAAGCATTGTTTGCCAGGGTTTGTGATGTTATTATGGTGTTGCAGCTGTGAGAAATAAACAAAGCTTCATCAAGACTGAATGAGAATTGCAAAATCAGTAAAACTCACATTTACAATTCAGTTCATTTGTCTAGAGTCAACAGATGTTCTCAAACAAAGTAGTGAAAGATTGCGATGTTAAATCACAATATCGGGACTTGCCTCCTCATTTAGATGCTGCCACCTCAGTGTGATTGACAGCAGCTTGGCCGAAACACATCAGACATGGCATTATTTGCTGAAACAGCACTTAGTGGGTGTTAAATAATGGCTGTCACTTGAAGCCAGAACAGAAAGTGTAGCTGAATAGTAAGTAATACATGACTCATTTCCACAGTTTAAAAATATGGATGATAAATGTAATCTTGACATAATACGGTGGCAGCTCAACCTAATGATGTATGGCAGCATATGTTCTCAATGTAACCCTCCTGTGGTGAAGTTATTCTTCCCAATGTAGGTTTTAATAGACAACTATTTTCCTTTAATGATTCTTCAGAATGCACTCTGTGGGCTACTTTGGGATCATAATGATCTGCATGGGTATATTTAATATTAATATGTTGCTGATTATGTCTGTGTCTCCTTGTATAGATTAATTATAGCTGCAGATACTTACAAATGGCTGTGATATTTTTGTATTTACTCCATTTAATTTGTTTGGCCTTATGTGATAATAGATGGATGGCACTGAATGTTACATTTCAGCTGCTTTACCGTAAATGAGCAGCGAAATGTGGATATTTGTGATTAAAAGGATGAATAACTACATATTAAAAATCTTGTGTGCTTAAATAAAGTACAGTAATATCATAAATGAAAAGGTAATCACCATTAGTTTACAAAAATATAATAAACATTCTCAAAGAATAAGCTCACTATATTTTACTTTTGTAAAACGATTTCAAATAAGCACACAGTCTGTTTTTAGCCTTCAGTCCCACTCGGAAGTGTTTTCACAGATTCTCACAACCTTTTTGGTAGCAGGGAAAGACTTGCTTTGTTTGTTCTTCACCTATTCCAATTATAGAGCTATACCCTACCGTGGAGTGGGCATTACGATTTCAGAGGACCCTGCATTATGAAGAGGATAAGCCCAGTCGGTGAGTTTGTGTATCAGGGAGTAGATAAGGTCATGAGCTGGCAGAGGAAGAGGAGGTGGAAGTTTAGAGTGAGGTGAAAGAGGAGGAGGACAGAGATGATGATTGTTTCCGTAACCCTGTCTCTGCCAAGTAGCTCAGTTGTTCATTCAAAGTGATCCTGGACTGCATTCATCCTGCTTAATTACTAAGCTCCAGTCATAAGATTGCTCTTTGCAGAATGAATTGTGTTTGTGAGTGTGTTGAGTGTGTATGTGTATGTGTATGTATGTGTGAATAATGAGGCTTAAGTGGATTTGCGCTTGTAATGAGCTTTGTGAAGTGATGAGTGGAACTTTGTTGTTGAGTAAGTCGTTCGACAGGCTGCAGCACGACATAAAGTCACAACCCTGTCCAACGTAAAGACAGGGAACTAATCAAAAGGAGATAGATCACCGAGTGGATGACATTAGCTTTATACTGTAGGAGTTAGGGAATGCACAAAACTTTGTTGAATTACTTTTTTATCGGTAAAGAGTTTAGACACAACATTTACTGGTGATCAAACTATTTGTATTCATGTGAAAAAAAACGAATTGGAGACAAGCAATGAGATATTATAAAGACAAAAAACTCAAATCAATACTCTTTTTAATTACATTTAGATTTGTTCTCTCCTTCTCCAGTCTCATAATTGGCCATTACGTTCTCTTTCCAATCCTCCGTTATACATCTTTCAGTAAACTGTAGCCTTTTAATGTGATTCAACCTCCTCCCATGGCCTTAAAGACCATGCTTGATGGTGAGCCTATATGTGTGTGTACGTGGAAAATCTCCCCTCTAGCGTGACTTATCTGGATACTTTTGAGCTGTGAGTTTGATTGAAAGCTTCCCACAGTCTTTGTGCTGGTTGTTTTTCCTTAAATAGTAAATCTGTGATTTTTGTGATGTTAGCGTTAGGCTCAACTCACTCCCACGGACAAAGTAATGGTGATGCCTGCCACCACTATGGCAGTACAACTATGTCTGAGAATAACTTAATGGCAACTTTATCTTATAGGTAACTTCAGAACTCCTTTTCCTTTAATATTGTGACAACAGTGTTTGTATGTCAAAATCCTGATAAGGTACAGCAGATAATGCATTGTTAATGTCTTTCACTGTGCGATGTGTGTTGGCCAGTCAGAACATGCTGTAACGTTTTTTGCCTCACTCGGAGGAGCAATGAAGTCTCTTCCTTACAAGTTTGTGTTTGTAGGGCTTAAAGCTACATTTGCTGGCAAAACAGCAACCAAAGCTGTGGTAAAGCATCAGTTCCTAATTGATGAGGGGTCAGTGTCCCTCAGTAGTGAAGCAGCATCTGTGCATCTGAACTTTTATATTTGGTGTATTTATAATTGTATTTTACAAATGGCTGTTACTGTTGGCAGCAGTGTAGTGTTCCAGTTCAGCAAAAATCTTCTGACTAACAGCCCCCCACCCACATGAGTTTTAATTTGCTGGCTGTTCATTTAGTGTACGCCTGAGTATGTAAAACTGATGAGTTGCCTCTGCAAATGTGGTCCTAAAATAATCACAGAATCAATTTAATGGGTGCGGTGTAAGCACATTTTGTCAGTGACTTAATGAGGGTCTACACAGACACTTTTATTCGGGAGTTTTTTTTATGTAGATTGGAATATTTTAACAATCCTTAAAATATTTTCTTGTACATAATGAGATAATTTAACAAGATGCTAGTGTTACGTATAAGAACAAGTTGTGCTTTGAATCCAGCACTAATGTAGTATTGTTTAGGAGTTGGGAGTTTCCTACAGCAAGAAACGGAACATTTTAGAGAACGTAAAATGTTATTTCATATCACGTTCAATGCCCGGCGTTAATTTGAACCGATCTGTTTCCACTGTATGCATTCCAAGGATTCCTGGATCAATGTATGCTCTTGTCTTCCCAGTGACAATTAAATCGTTTCTCATTTCATTACAAGTCGATTCTAATCCAGGAGCACATCCTGCCGTTTTTCTTTGTGTGTATAATGAAATGGAAAAACAAATGATGTGCTCTGCATGTAAGTAACGATATGAGTCGTCGTGTCTGCCAATCTAGAAATCTTGTTAATCTCCCTGCAAACAGAGAGGAAGAAAAAAGTGGCAAATCTTATTTCTTGATTAAAAACAAGAACAAAATGGCAGTTTATTGGGATTTAGCATGCGTGTAAGCACATAAACCTCATGTTCACATGTGTACTTGCTTCTGTTTCCAGGTGAACACAGCCATGCATGAGGCCAAGCTGGTGGAGGAGTGTGATGAGCTGGTGGAGATCATCCGCCAGAGGAAACAGGTCATTGCCGTGAAGATCAAAGAATCCAAGGTAAAGTCTAACCAGGAAGCCTTCAGACCCTTTTTCAGCTCATAGTATGTACATTATATTATAGACTGTTTTTATTAAATTCCTATCGTTTTATAAGTACAGCTATTCCAACAATTACGTCACACTGACAATTAAAGCAGCCAAATTGGCCACAACATATTTAAGGAACTCAACTCGAGGTCATCCTCCACTTGTGCAGAATCAGTGTTTTTGTACCAGACAATAAATATGACAGCAGCAGCACTGTGGGCAGAATATATTCATTATAATATCTGTTATTTGTTGGCTGTCTCTGTAGTTCTCCACTTGTTATCCCAAACAAACATCACATGCAGGCGAGGAAAAAGAGAGCAGTAACGACCTCTTCTATGTAAACAGACCATCTGAATGTGTGTAAGTAAAAGCCTTCATGGCAGCAAAGACTGTTTTGAAGTTGCTGCAGGAAATACTGTCCAGACATTTACAGCACGTGTGTGTGGACATACACTTTATGGGTGGTTCGTTGACGTTTAAGGGCTTCAAGACAGAGGCAAACTCTTAATCTCACCCTCCCAGAGGTGAAGCTTTAAGTGCTTGTGGAAGATCCTCTGAGGCAGCAAAAGAGCTTTGTCGAGAGATGAAAGATTTCCAAACACTGAACCCAAGGACCGCAGTAGGTGTGTGTACGGGTGAGAGAGAGAACAAGTGTGTCAGAGTGTGTCCGTAGTGATAGCAGACAAAAGGAGCGAGGCTTGTTCTCCTGAGAGTCTTGCTCTGTAAAAAGGCCGTCTGGTCGAGGAGGGAGATGCAGGAATCACAGGAAAGAAGGAAGTGCACAGGAAACACCAGAGGGGCGCTTGATTGATGCCAGCCTGCAGGGTACTATTTGAGTCTTTTTAGAGGTCAGGAAAGATGAATGAAATGCACCATGAGTATTTCAATTAATCAGAAGTGTGTTGAAATATTTGAGAGGAGAGGAGAAAAAAGTAGAACACTACAGGTCAAGTAAGGGAAGGTTGGCATTTTAGCTCAAAGTGTTGCAAAGGAAATGTTGACAGGTGAGACGCAGCAGGATAACAGGATTATGAAGGTGTGATGATGGCGAGCTGAGCACGCTGCTCCTATTTTCTCCCTAAGGAGACTCAGCAGACATGCCTAATCTCTCCCTGCCCAAACAAAACACACACTATTCCCAACTTCTGGTGAGCATCTTTATCATGTGACTGTGCTTGGCTTCTCTCTGTTAACTATTTAACTCTTCTGGAGCCTTGAGGATTAACAACTCAAATCTGTTTAGGGTGTTTAGACAAATCACTTGATTTCTAAAAACAGCAGAGTCGTTGTTACCTTCAGTTTACAAGGTTATGGCTAGTAGATGTAAAAAACAACAGCATTAGACGTTTATTTAAATAAAAACCTGTCTGATTACATTTACCTAACAATAATCTCTCGTTGCTTTGCCAAAAAAGATGCAGAAGTAGTGTGTATTGTCTCAGCACCGAAATCCTCTTAATGTGAAGGTCACACTGGATTGTTTGGTGTACAAAGCATGTGACTTCTGTTCGCATCCAGCTTCCTGCGCACAGCCCAAGTTGGTTTCTACTTATAAGTATCTTTCAAGAAAATGGCAAACATGAATAGTTAATATAATAGACCATTTGGGAAGGGTAATTGTTTTCTTTCCAGTCAGAAGTATAATAATAATTAATGGTATTTATTTTAGCGCTTTTCCAAGGGCTCAGAGTGCTTTAGATTAGATATATTAGAGATCTAATACACTCAATACGGTGGACAATACACACAGGAGCAATTTAGAGTGAAGTGTCTTGCCCAAGGACACACGGCATGTTGACTGCAGTGGTGGGGAAGGTGGGATTGAACCTGTTCTTCCCCGGTCCCCCGATCTGATGATCAGCGCTCTCAAACACTGCTCTAGGATGAGAAGATACCACTCTCACTGTCTATACAATAAAATATACATTATAGCTGGAGCTAGCAGCTGGTTGGATTTGCATAACATAAAATAAGCATAGTGTTTAGAAAGAGTGGAAAGAGAGGGAGATAGAAAGCACGGCTAACCAAGTTAACCAACTCACTTAATAAGATACTGCTTATCTGTCCAAAATGAGATGCAAATATATATTGAGCACAGAACAGACCTTTGTTTGCTCAAACTAACTTGTTTCTTGTGCAACAATAATTACATTTTACAACATGTAATTGATGTACTTGTAAAATATATTTTTTGTGCTCAAAATGTCCCATTATCCTGAACATATTAGTTATGATTATACATTTATATTTCAGCTTCAGACAAGATTGTCTTTATACAACATTAAATACTCACACACACACACACACACACACACACACACACACACACACACACACACACACACACACACACACACACACACACACACACACACACACACACACACACACACACACACACACACACCATGTCATATTGGCCATTATTCTTAGAGAGAGGGAGTAATCATCTCTACAATTGTTTGTTGCAGCACATGTTACCAAATAATAACCCGTCCATTAAGCCTGTCTCGCCTCTCTTTGTTCAGACATCATGCTGCTCAAATGTGTTTTATAGTGACAACAGATAACAGTGGACTTGTTTGAAGAGCAGCTAAAACATCATATGCATTAAGACACCAACTTAGAGTGGCTTCTGAGCACACCAGCTCCAGCGGTAGAAAGCGAGTGCACATTAGATGCTGTTTTGATTCTTTAAGAGCTTTTGATGACAAGCTTTTAACCAAATGCCACCCAGTCATTTTTTTGAGTTATTGTTTGCATAATTCAAGCCTTTCAAGCAAAGCATTTGCTGCTGAAAATATAAATGACTAAGCCTTTCAAGGTACTCATCATTTTAAATGTTTTTATTTATTTCTTTTGTGTTTATGGATTCAAGTTTTTAGCTGTTACTGAAAATATGCTTTTTTCAGACAATAAAGCAACTTTAATGACCGACTGGCATTTAAAGTTCACCGAGGTTTCATTTAATCATCATTGCAGACAGGCTCCACATACTAAAGCTGGTATTTATTTCTCCAGCCCAGTTCTTGTTGACTTTCTCTGGGCTCACGAGCAGCCACTGTTGTTTCCTGTGGAGCGTTACATCAAACTAAGTTCATTTGAGGAATCAGGATATGAGCCGAGATGAAGATAAATGGATTACTTTAATGTGAAATAACCATTGAATGGTTTCCTTATGCTGAGTCGGAAATTGAGTTACAGAACAGCCACTGAACATTACAGTATAAACAGAATGAATGGCAGGAGCCTGTTTGTGTGTTGGTCTAACGTCTGAACTCTGACCTGACTGATGACCTGTCTCTTGATGTGCACAGCTTGCTTGTTTGTGGTGAAGATGAAGCAAGTCAATATGAGCATCTGTGGGCCGAAACCCCCATTTCTTGTCTGAGTACAAATAGTTTACAAGTAAATTTTGCAAGTACTTTGCTAGTTTATAGACAAACAAGGACACATACAAATTATAATCCTGTATGGTTTCCTTAATGTTATTATATCACAATTTCAGCTGTGACCTGTAAACATGTTAATGAGGTCGATGTGAGCATGAAGAGCCAATGGCCTCGCTTCAACTCTCAAATCATAACCAGGGCTCTGTCCTCTGTCCTCCATTCTTGTTGCATATGTCCACATCACTGCGTCTATAAGCATGCTTGCGTGGAATATAAAGCGTGTTTGGTAGTGTATGACAGCCATCCGTCAACATGTGGATTTTTTAAGTTTTTGGGATGGGTTATAGTGTAGAATGGCCTCCTAATGCTGACTGTTTTCTTTCGTTCATCAGCTCTACACATAAGCTTTCAATAATGCCCTGCACTCACTGCTTTAACAAGTTAAATGAATTACATTTTATGTAAAGATTCCTCTGGCAAGATAGTGTTCCCATAGAGGTTTTTTTTATTAGTATTGTAATAAAACGTCAGCTATATTGAAAGTCTGCAATATGACAACTTATTGGTTTCAAACACATGGTGTGATAGGAATGCTGTCCCTCTATCAGTATTTAGCAGTTTGCCAGCAAAGCTTGATGATATTTTCTAAGTGTTCAACATATGTTTGGATTAGCGAGTGTCACAATGATGAATGCCTCATACTGAGGGACCAGGAGCAAAAGTGATGTATTTCATAAGGCTTTTCTGAGCTAATGGAAATATATCAGTGTTTCACCGCATAACCACACATCTGTATTTGTGTTTGTTCCAGGTGATGAAACTGCGTAAATTGGCCCAGCAGATTGCAAACTGTCGCCAGTGTCTGGAGCGCTCCAGCGCCCTCATCACACAAGCCGAACAGAGCCTGAAGGAAAACGACCATGCCCGCTTCCTCCAGACCGCTCGCAATGTAGCAGAAAGGTGTGTGATTAAACTTTGCTGTTATCAGTGTTTGTTTGGAGGTGATATTGTAGTTTGTTTGTAATATTTGACAATGTACATCAGTGGTGAGAGACATCAGCAACACATCAATAGGCTATTCAGAAGAAAAAAGACACAAAACACCCGACCCGTGGTTAAATGCACAACATGTGGTAAGACAGATAGATATTAAAAACCCTATCCTGCAATTTTCCTCTCTTCTGGAAATATGATGTTGGAAAAAAAGTAATGAAATATGCATTATATAACATTTCTTTAACTCCTCCAATCAATACCAGGCCTGTGGTAAAAAACACCTAAGTGCCGAGCTCTGCGGTTTCACTTTCCACCTGCGTACTCTAATTCTAATATCTTCCTACCACCACAGCTTTCTCTCACAGACAAAGGTCTCTGCAAAATCTGCTGCTGGCATAGCATCTTTTTATTTGGCCTACACTCTGCTTTTTCCCATTACCTGGCTGGGTACTTTATTGAGCGCCTTGTTCCTCAGGGGGAGAGAAAGCAGAGTCTCCGGCCCGCTCTGTAACCCTGCCAGCTCCTGCCTCAGACTGAGGCTGAGAGCAGAAGTAGGCACAAGTCTCTTCAGAGCAGCACAGACTGTGTAGTCAGTGTGTGTCTCCGTTTGAGTTTTGATGGCTCTCTTGGTTAACACAAAACTCTGAGGTAGTGATTGTTTATAGGGCATGTTGCAGACTTGTTTTTTTATTATACATTTTATTGCTTTAAATTTCCATTCCGCCTTCTAACTCTCGCCCTTATCATTTTCTCACTATCTTCCTCCTCTCTTCCTTTTATCACAACACTTCCTCCCCCTCTCTCCTTACATTTGTCCACCTCTTCATCGCATTTCATATTTGACTACCCCTCTCCTCTTTGACTCTCTTCACCTCAACTGACGTCTCGGCCCTCCACCCCCCCCCCCACACCCCCACCCCCACCCCCCCTCTTCGCTCTAACTCTCCCCGGACATTTCTATTTCCTCACTCCCATGTCCCGCTCTATAGGGTTGCCATGGCGACGACCTCCTCCCAGGTACTCATCCCTGACGTCAACCTGAACGAGGCGTTTGACAACTTTGCCCTGGACTTTTCCAGAGAGAAGAAGATCCTGGAAGGACTGGATTACCTAACTGGTAGGAGCTGTGTGTTTACAGTATCAGCATTAAAACATGTATGCACTGAAGCTAAAGCAGCCTTTCTATCACTTAGTTTAAAACGTTTTAAACAAATGATTTATTTATATATTTTATCTCATGTCCTGCGCGTTACCCAACCAGTATAGGTTTTAAAAGACACCAAAAATACAGTTGCAGTGGTCAAAACATTTAATTGTATTAGATTTAATTACAAAATGTAGGGTTTGTTATCTTGAAGAGTCAAACTAAATATTCAGTTTTCATCCAAACTTGCCAAACTGTTCCTTTAACTATATTTTGTCAGTTGTTGATTCTCCAGTGCATTTAAATGTGGACTTTATGCTTATCTTAACACAGGACCCAGTTCTCTCCTAGTGAATACTACTAACCCTAACCCTATTATTTAAACCAGTTTATTGACACCATTTTAACTTGTTTTTACTATAAATCATGTTGTTTTTTCCATGCCTAGCTCCCACCCCTCCATCCATCAGAGACGAGCTGTGCACCGCCTCTCACGACACCATCACTGTTCACTGGACGTCCGAGGACGAGTTCAGCGTCACCTCCTACGAGCTGCAGTACACCATTTACACCGGCCAGACAAATTTCATCAGTGAGTCTTTGCACACTCAGAACATGTCATCAGTACTGCAGATCACATGCACTCATTATCTGAGCATGTACGGAATTTCATGTTTAATTGGGTTTCATGAACAGCCAGGGGATTACTCTGGGATTGTTTTAATCAAGGTTTGGCCAAGAGGGATCAGATACTTTGTTGACCTGTGTTTAAATACCATACAAATTTAATTTGTCAGGGAAATGGGAGACGGGCTGAAATATTAGATTTTCTTTTCATGTCATTTTCAAAGTAAGAAGTTCCTTTAAATATCAAACTGGCTATTTAGAGCTTTTGAAGAAAGAGCCGCCCTTAAGTTGCATAAAAATAGCTGGAAATACATGATTCAAAATGCACTCTGCTAACATGGAGGCTCCTTGTATATGATAAGAGCAGAATGACTGCATGGTTCCTCGATATAGAGATCAATGGACAGTGAATCAATCGAGTTTTAATCATTTTTATCGAATACTTTCAAATTGAAAGAGCTTTTTAAGTAAGACAATTTTACTTTTGAAAGAAGAAATAACACAAATATTCCTCTTAAAATAGATAATATAGAATTTTCCCTGTAAACACTTTTCTTACTGCTTCAGCTTAACTGACGAAGTTAAGCTAATTTGAGTAAGGTGTTGCTTTATAACGGACATTGCTGGGGTAATTTATCTGACTTCCTTTTCCTTATTTGTGTTTCAGTTTACAGTATCCTATAATCTTGGCCTGTTAAGCAAAAGTAAAAAAAAACCTCCCTGTCAATCAATGAAAATCGGATTATTTTGACGCACACAAAATACAGTTTAAGCACATTTATAAGACGCATAGGATACGTATCTACACCCACACTTATGCACAAGCCCAAAGGAAACCCACAGTTCACACTGACCTCTCTGCTGTTACAAAGAGAAATAAACTGGAGCACCACAATACTTTCAGCATTGCTCAGTCTTATTTTCATATGTTCAATATTTTCTACCAACTGTGTTGCATAACCTAGTTTTTCGGTCAAACTTTACTCTTTGTTGTCCTCCATGCTCGTTTTAAGGGATTTAGAGCTGAATTATCAAGTATTTTTCTTATAAAAGCAGGACGTGCAGTACATATCACAAGGGGATGCTTCAATAGATTCACTATTTAGTATCTGGTTTTGGTTTAAGCTGTGTGTGGGAAAAAAAGATGAGAATGCAGAACCCCTGCTGCCCTCTTTTGTCCTCTCACATTTCTCCCTATACAGAAGCTTATTTTTGTTTCAGGCTCGTAAAATGTCATGATTTATATTTGGGATATTATGCAAGCATTTCGGCAGCAGAGTTTAAGTCTCTCAAATGTTTCCTTACATTGTATAATTTCCCTCACTACACTGTCTCTTTTTAGGCCATTGCAAAGTTATTTGAATCAGTGCTTATCTTGTTACCAGTGTAATTAGGAAAGTTTCATCATGTAGAGCTGCAATCACAATGTAGTTATCAGGAGAAAGTCATTTGTTTTTGCATCCAGTTTCCCCCCTATGGTGGTCTCGATTAAATCCCTTAATGTTAAACTCATAATTCCAAATCATGACACTAGGAGCATGTCCTTAATTCATTTGTTAAAGTATAGTTGAATCCACCAAAATGGTCACAAATAGTTGTGCCTACTTAGATTGTTGCCTTTTGGACTATCACCCCTTGAAAATGTTATTCAATCCATGTCAGAACAGAATGTCAGAATGTGTGCAATTGTAGCCATTTAAAGGTGGGGTAGGTCATTCACTTCAAGTACACTTTTTGTTATATTCCATGGAACGCTCTTAACATCCTGATAGAAATTAATATCTTAAGTGCTTTGACAAAAAATCCATTAAAAAATGTCATCTGTGGAAGCCGTGGCGCTGTAAAAAGCACGACCAATCATTTTAGCGCTAAAATGATTGGATGGCCTACCTGCCTGTCAGCCTTCCATCTGTGCACAAACTTATCTCGTGCCCTCATTGGTCATGTGCGCGTTCGTGTGTGTTGGAGGAGGGGCTCTGTAAGGAAGTCTGAAGGAAGAGGCAGATTTTTTCCGGTTGCGTACTTTCAAATTCTAGCGCACTCGAGCTGGTTTCTCCATTCTTACCTACCCTACCTTTAAATGACACATCAGCATATCATAGCTGAACAAAGTAGACATTACTCTCTTGAAATCCTTGTATGAAGTCCTTATAATCCTGGACAGTCCCCATTAGTTCACAATAATTGAAGGGAAAGAAAGAGCACGGTGGAGGAGAACAGGTGAGTGGATAATGGTTACATAGGGGAGGTGAAAATTACCACTTGCTGATATGAGTAGGATTATTGTACATAACGGTGCATGTGCACACACACACATCTTTGCAGCTCCACTTTCCCTCCCCTCTTAGATTCTTTCACCGTCTCATCTTCTCTCGTCCTCTCCGTGTAACCTGACATCTCCCTGTCCAACCAGACAACTCAAGTGCCCCAGCCATTTGAGACTCAGGATACATTTCAGCTGTGAAAGAGCGAGTGGCTCAGATATTCAGCAGTGTGCTGCCACAGAGTCCTCAGAGATTCACAGGAGAAATGGAGAAAGAGAGAAACCCATTTAGCCTGCCACTTGAATTTTTACCATAGCAGTTTGCTCAAACTTTCCTAGTGGTTAAATGCTCCCACTTGAGTGCCATCCTTTCCCCTCTAGTTTTCTCCTGGCCTCATCCTCAGCCTTGGCCCTCCCATGAGGAGCAGGGTCTCGTGAACCCTGCCTCTGCAGGATCATCCAAGCACAGCAGCAGAAAATAGAATCAGCAAGTGAAATCAAATACCATGGAGAAAAGTAAGCAGTGTCAGAAAGCCAAACATGACTGCAAGTAAAGATGTCTGCACTGTCATAGTGTAGCTACATCCTCCGCCCCTTTACAAGTTTTACATTTTAAGTCTCATTCGTTTACATGCCAAATTACATCGTCAATTATCCACTAATAATGTGCATCAGCGATGAGGATTATGTTCATTCTTACAATGAACATCTATGAAGATGTCAGGGTTTAAGAGAACAAGAGTGAAACTAATTTCCTTTGAGCCTTAATGTTGATTTACTTACTTGATGTTGTTCCTTTATGTCGTACAGTGATGCAAACCTAATTAAGTGATAGATCCTAATCTTTTATCAATAACACAACACTGAATAATATAATGATATATCGCTTTTTGATGTAACACATTAAATATACTTCTGAAACTAATATGTTTAGCATCAGCTTTCCGCCTTTGATGGTCCTAATGTATGTCCATTACAATATACTTATTTAAAATGTAAATATTATCAGTCTCCACTAGTTGCATAACCTTTTGAAACTTTTTTATTTTTGTTTAGTTGAAACAAATAAGATATAATCTGATAATGAGTGAGCTTTAGAGAGGATGGTTGGAGGATTGTGTAATCTCTGGATAAAGTCAGACTAGCTGTTTCCAGTTGCAATGCTAATGTAATGCTAAACTAAGCTAACCATCTCTCTCTGCTGTAGCTTTTTTACTCAGCATTTATGAAAGTGCTATCAATCTTCTCATCTAATTATTGGTATTGACGGCAATGGCAAAGAGGATACATCTAAAAATACCTATGCTTATTTTTTACTTACTGAGTAAAAATACTTAATTGACTGCTTTCAAAACATTTTGACTACCTGAAGATAGTCAAAATCTATCTTCTGTGACTGTTTCAGATGGAGAAACAAGAGATTATCGTTATCATGGCACCATTGTTGGCACTTATTTTCTTTACATGTCTCAAGCCACTGCCTACAGCTGTCAAGAAATAAACTCATTAGTTGATTTTACTGTGTCTGTCCGGACTGATAGAAGTCAATACCTCTGTTCCCACCGCCGCATTACTTTTTCCCAGTTTCTGCTCATGTGTACACTTTCATGTTAACGAAACCAGCAATACCTACCTGCTGGTTTGATCAGCTTTCATGTGTATTCATAAGCACCAACCTGTGGTGATGTATTAATATGGTTATCACAGGTAAAAAGCTGTGTCACAGTGGGCGTTAGGAGAGCTCAGAGTTTGGTTCAACCCTTTGTATCTCAACAGGGCATCTTTCAGAGTATCAGCAGGATCCTTCTGTGTGGCAGAGTGTGATGAAATGTTGATGAGGGTTCAGACTGCAGGAAACTAGCGAGGGTATGCGTGTTAAAGTTATGTGGAGGCACCAAGAGATAGATGCAGGTGAGGCATTGTATTGCTTTTGTTGATGCACAGCTACTCACAGAAACACACACACAGTCTCCATCAACTTTATATTGCATCATCAAAGACAAAAACAGCTGCAGTCTGTTTCCTCCTCATATTGACTCCGACACAGACACACACATATGCTGCACATACTGTGTGTGTACACACACACACACACACACTCTTGATGTCTGAATGCGAGACACAAGTCGATCTTTATCCCCCTGTTTCATTTCAGTCTCTTTTTACAATGGCTTATTCAGCTACTGCCCCCCACACTTTGAAGTCACAATGCTCTCCAAAGGCAGCAGCACTCTGCTAGTATCAGCAAGCCTCTTTTCAGTGGTAAAAGTAGAAATAGCAGTATCGCTGTGTACTGACCTAATTTGATATTGCAAAAAGGGAGAGGTGCTACGGAGATCAAAAGCTTTAAAAATGGAAAGCAGCATGAAGTCGTTCTCGCTCGTCTCTCCCCTGTATCTCTTTTCGGCAGCTCACATAACATTGGAGCCTACCTAATTTCGACAGGAACGGCTAAACTGACAGGTGGGATCATTTCGCTGTGGGGACAGCTGTCCTAGTAGAACAACATAATTGCTTTTTGCAGGGATCTTATTGACAGTTGAGAGCAAGCTGAAAGAAATGCAGATATTACTGCCAATCCCGAGATACCAAATGGATTGTGTACGTGCACGGTGTCAAGAAGCTTCTATTAAAATCCCTCACTTTTTCTACTCCCTCCTTTTAAAGGAAGAGTCCTCTGCAGTGATTTCTTTGTCAGAGAAAATCTGGTGGAAGTCGGCAGATGTGTAAAGATGCAGCCTTCACTCTTAACAGTCCCCTCCCCTCATTTATTCTTAAAGCCGCCTCACTTTTAAAGGCCTTATTTGCGTCCTGTGAAGTATTTATATTTACAAGCAGACTCTTGGCTATTACTTATGCATGCTGTTGCCATCTTGTTCAATAATTCACAAGAAGGGACAAGGCACGCATGGCCCTGAGAGCTCTCTCCCTTTCAGGATTTTTATTTCCCTGCAAATCTGGGGCAGGGGCGAGGAAAGATAAGACAAAGACAAGGATTGTTATTCTACCTTCAACTCTGAAATATGAACTGCAGCTGTAGTGATTCTAAACAAGATGCTGCGCTAGTTATTGCAGAGGTTTAATTGAATGCATTCGTATATTTTTTGATGGCTGAAAGAAATGTTAACCCTGGCTCTTACAGTTTGCTTATAAGGTATATATTGTGTGTCTGTTCATGAAGGAATTTGTTTGTCAAATTGTTGCTGAAGCTAAACATTTTTAATAGCTCTGAAATTAATAATGCAATCATTTTATTTCAGTAGTAAAGTAGCAACTGTCAGCCATTCCAAAAGTGTTAAATATGATGCCAACAACATCTGCCCTCTGCAACTACATATTAAATGCACACCTCTCACCTTGAAGGTTCATATTTAAAATCAGACAAACACTACTTTATGAAATCATATGTTGTGGGTTAGGGAAGGGGTGTGATTCAGTCACTGTAAGTGTAAATTACTCGACGTTATGAAACACTACAGGACGGAAAAAGCTCTCTTTTGTAGACGCGGGTTTCCTCACCTGAGCTGAGAATCTGCTGTAGTCGGCTGCAGCTGACAGACTGTAAATACTTTGTTTTGAAGCAGGTGACTGCAGAGCTAACTCAGCCATTGCTAAGCCTCAACTGCAAGCTGCTCTAAATCAAAGAGCCCACCTACTGGGGTCATGTAGGTTTGACTCACATTTCCTTACATTTGAACATTAAAGGTATCGCAGTCGTTTGCCCTAAGGCGCTTACTACACATAGTCTGTCATGGAAGTACCTTGTTCTCAATGGGGATTCAGCTTAGTGAACACACAATATGTCCTCAGGGGAGAAAGCCAAGGTAATCGTGATGGAAAGGTAATGGGGTGGATCAGTATGTTCACATAAATGTTGCATAACATCGCAGATTGTATGGTCTCTGAGCTTCCTACTGTGTGATGGATCACTATGTGTTTGGAGAAAAGATAACATCTGGTTGGATGTAGAGAATAGTGTTTTTCTCTTTTGAACATCAACGTAACGTTTTCAGTAGGACGGTGCTTAGCCCTAAAGACATAAGCAGAACATGGTTACTCATGCTCTGTGTGTGTGTGTTTGTGTGTGTTTCTGCCAGGCTTGTACAACTCTGCAGACAGCTGGATGATCGTACCTAACATCAAGCAGAACCACTACACGGTGCACGGCCTGCAGAGTGGCACCCGTTACATCTTCTTTGTCAAGGCTATCAACCAGGCAGGAAGCCGCAACAGTGAGCCAGCCCGCCTGAAAACCAACAGTAAGTGAAGGCTGCTCTGCCTCTGAATATTTACAAGCCTTGTTAATTAGTTTTTTTTATATTTAGTACACACTTTTTACCGTCTGCATCATTTGTGCAACATAACATACAGACTGTCCCTAATCAAGGTTTTCTTTTACTTATAAATGATGAACAAATAAGTAGCAGAATCAGACCTAACTTAGATTAGATTATTATCAATATGTATGGCTTGCTTTTGGTTTTCAGCCTGAATGTAACAGGATATATATGAAACACTTATTTGTAGTCATGAAAGTAATGTCTCATTGCCCAATGTGTGATGTACCCAAAATGAGACAACCTGCATGAAAACACACCTTTTGCTTCTATATTAAGAGCGATAGTTTGAGTTGAGACATTTTCTTAGCAAAGAAATTCCATCTTACATAAAAGTCATCAACATATCTTTGGGTTTGGCATAGATCACACACAATAAAAATGTGTTAGTGCTTTAATTTTGGATGCATTCATTATGTTTTTATAGGAGAGTTAAGAAAACGGGGCTTTTAAGTGCTTCTTTCTTTTCATCTCTCCTAAAATCCTGTCGACTTGTAGTTGTTCAAATGCTTAAATTATACTCACCAGACTCACATTTTCAAGTATGATCAAGTGGAGAAAGTTAAAATCTAGCAATATATACCCCTTTCAGTGTTTCCCCTAGGTTTACTGCTTTGGGGGGTGCTGCCTGAGCGTGGGGGGGGCATTGGGATATTATCTTTTTTAAATCCTCTGGAGCAGAGAGAGGAGCTGTGGATTATTGTTTTTGATTAATCAGTGTTTCTTAGGGTCAAAAACACTAAACTCACAACTTAAAATGAAAGCGTTTAGTTTATTTAATAAAAGAGCACATGTTCAATGTGAAAAGTGACAGTAGATATAGATTAGTTGCAATTTGGTGCTATATATACAGTATATATATTTAAAAAAAATTATATATTTTTTTAAACACCTTGAATTTCAGGGGGGGCGTGGGGCTCCGTTGGCGGGGCACAGCCCCCCTCCAAGACAATGGTAGGGGAAACACTGCCTTTAATCACTTACTTTCATTTTTCCGTTTGTTTTTTGGGGGACTATACAAGTATCTCTCTCTCTGTCTCTCAGGGACGTTTCTCAGTTTCTGTCACGGTGTGTGAAGCAGGTAGGACCCAAATGCAGATTAAAGTGAGAATTCCTTTATTTCAAGGCTAGGTGAACAACAAAGACAAAACAGAACACTCACCGACGAACTAGTCATGACAAAAGACGAACCGACAAAGACAGACAGAAAAACCAGAACTTAAATACACACAAGACTAATCACAGAAACAAGACGCAGGTGAGGAGGGAGGAGAAAACACAGGGACACCAGGTGAACACAATCGGGTAATCAGACACACCAGGGAAACTAACGACAGGGAACCACAGACAGATCCAAACAAGACAAAACACAACGCAGACAGAAAACCAAAAACAGATATAGACAAGACAAAACACCACAAAGACAGATCGTGACAGTTTCATGTTTAGCAGAGAGTTTCTTAACTTGTGTTTTTGACATCTTCTCTGCCTCTCAGTCGTACACTCCTTGTCCCTTGCACATCGCTGTTTCTGTCTCTTTTTGTTTTGTTTATTCTCTGCTGTGGAAACTTGTCCTGCACTTGAACTCCCTCTTATTGAATTTTCCTTTCCCTTAACAGTACACAGTAGCTGAATATAAATAAGAAAGACAATTAAAGGTAGGGTAGGTAATTCACTTCAGAAACACTTTTTGTTATTGTCATGGAATGCTCTTAACATCCCGATAGCAATGAATACATTAAATGCTTTGACAATAAATACATACAAATATTTAATCTGTGGAAGCCGTAGTACTGTAAAAAGCACGACCAATCCTTTTAGCCGGCCCGGCTAAAATAATTGGATGGCCTACCTGCCTGTCAGCCTTCCACCTGTGCACAAACTTATCTCGTGCCCTCATTGGTCATGTGCGCGTTCGTGTATTGGAGGAGGGGCTCTGTAAGGAATGTTTTTTCGGCTGCGTACTTTCAAATTCTAGCGCACTCGAGCTGGTTTCTCCATTCTTACCTACCCTACCTTTAAGCAAACGTTACCAAATTGTCAGTAAATAAAATGAAAATATGCAATACATTATTAAAGCTAGTACACTAAGCACATATTCTAAAAAGTGCTTAGTAAAGCATAACCAACAGATCTCAAGTGAAGTCACATTACTAAATATTCCACACCCCAATCTCCGGCTCAACTGTAGCATATAAAAGGTTAAAACCTCAGCAAAAAGTTAATTTAGAATTTGCCTCAAGGGAGTTCAATGAAATTGTAACATCAGTCCTACATTGGAACAGCAGTACAGTGAAGCTAAAGAGGAGTTTATATGCCAGCTGTCAGGAGTCTGGCTGTGGCATTTAGGATTAACTGTAATCTAGATTCACTGTGTGGGTAAAATAGGTGTTTGAGAAACTGCAGTAGTCAGAGGATGATCCCTCTCTCTCTCTCTGTCACCGACACAAACAAACACCAACTCTCTCTCACACTTTACCGTTACTCACTCTTGCCCTCTAATCAGTCCAGAGGCCACAAATAATCCAACCTGCCAGCATCAATACTAATGACTAAGAACTAGGGCTGCACGATATTGGAAAAAACTGACATTGCGATTTTTTTCCCCCCTGCGATATGAAAACATACAGGAATTGAAGAAAAGACCGTTTTTTCCCGCAAACCATCCTTTCTTGAACTTTAATGCTACTGTATACAATTGGTATTTTTTTAACTATATTTAACCGGATGAAGGATTTTAGTCACGGACGTCTGGATCTTAAGTTATCAGAGCAACAAGCTGAGCTAGCTCGGTTAGCAGCGCCGAACTGCCCTGGAGAAACACATGAAACGACTTTATTCAGTGTTTTTACCTTTAATCACGGGGTCCGTTTGCTTTGGAGATTTGATTGTGATTGGTGGTTTGCTGTGCATGCAGAGCCTGCATGTCACTCACTCAAGTACCCCTGACATGAGAGCCGCACAAGTTTTCCTTTTGTAGCAAGCAGCTAAATAATTGTAACATGACGTGTTTGAGTTAATGTACCTACTTAATATCGCACGTCCTAACAACATTTTTTTTAAATCGCAAGTCCTGCGATATTGCGATTATCGTCACGACATGATATATCGTGCAGCCCTACTAAGAACAGACAAGAAGAAATCTCAGTTTATTTTGCTTGACATTACCTTAAAAAAGGTGTGCCTTTTTTTATTAAAGAGATAAGAGAAACCATACTTTGGTAATGTCTCAGCTACATATATGTTTGGGGGAAACTGCCATGTGCCTGAATCCGCAGCTCCTCAGCTTCATAAAGCTTTATAGGCAGCTTCAGCTAATTGGCTCTCCATATCGCAGCTTTACTGTTCCCTCTTACCGCTCTCAAAGGGTCATTTTTGGCTTCGACAGGCAGCTGCTTATTGGTTAAAAAGCTCTTTGAACCCGATGTACATAACCTGCTCAGGATCAAAGGGCAGACAGACACAGAAAGTGACAGTAGTCGGTGAACAAAGTGGAACCATCAGCAGCTAAAGAGCCAGAAATGTCTTTCAGTGGTTCTGAGACCCAAAATATAAAGGTAAAGGATGTGAATCAATCAGCTGATCACAAACGTGTTGTGTGTGTCCAAATGGTAACTTCCAGAGATTTCAGATCTAGGCTAAGACACATTTATGGCCATCCTTCAATCTGTTGTCGTTTCTACAGTTTTCTTCTATGTTGCTTTTTATATTGTACTTGGTATGTTCTCTTAGTTTTTTCCACTTTTTACTTTAATTTTCATTCATGCAGCACTCTGATAAGCTCATGCTGTGTTTAAATGCGCTCCAGAAATAAACTATACTTACTTTATTGTATGCTGCCCTTATAAAAAGGACCATTATTGTGGGAATGTTCTCGAAGTTGGTTCCAGGCTAATAGGACACATCGAGAACACTTTTAATTGTCTACCCTTTTAACGTTCATATTCCCAATTAAAAATACTTTATAGTTAGGAGTGATAAGGGTCCTCTAATGAGAGCTCCACCACTACACCTGTCCTGTATTTGATACTGCCATCTGGCACTTTAAAGTAAACTCCAATCGCTCTGTTTCCAACAAGCAAACGCTCCACATGGCCTCGTCCCAAACGGGCACTGCAGCGGTCCATCAAATAAATCCAAGCCCTCCCATCTGAATCTCTGCCCCCCCAAGTCAGAATCTTCCAGACACACCCTGCCTGCGGGACATGGAGCGTGTCAGAACTGTAACTCTTTTCTTATGGCATTAAAGTGGATTACTGCCTCCGTGTGATGTGGGCACGACGTGTACCCTGAGAGGGTTTAGAGGTGAAGTGCAGGGTATCTGGAGCTCGCTGTAACTGAGGCTCATGGCTCTTACTGGGCACGATATAAATAACACTAAGAAGCATTTCAATATATAATGTGCTCCCTTGACACAGATAAGCGATGAGCGTGGATAGATGTTTTTTTCCATCGTTAATATCACATCTGTCATGTGTCTCTCACTTCAGTGATATAAAGTGACACACAATGAACACTTTGAGAGTTATGCCACGTTAAAGTTCCACCAAAGAGAATCGGAATAATCTCTTCTTTTGGAAATGGAAATTAGATATTATCTTACTCTCCTTTTTTTACACTTTTCAATTATAATTGGCTTTATTAGCAAGACAATAGAATGTGTGTTTCCAAAGCATATAGAGAAAGCAAAAATGGATTGCAGGGCTGAAACAATCAGGGTTATATTAAGGGTTGAATACAAAATAATTATGAAAAGTGGACAAAGAAATATTTGTTCTTTCTTAGCTCTCATTAAATTCATGTCGGAAGCTCCAAGTATATTTGATTTTCACATCACACAAAACTAAATCTGTATCATATTTGTACAAAGCACAGAGACCATGAAGTTGAGTTTGTTAGAGGTTGAATATCATTGAAACCAT